CACTGGCCATAGGCACAGGAACTAGGAGAGCGGGGAATGCTGCAGCACCCCCAAGCTGCCAACCTGTGCCCTGGGCTTTGCTCCCGGCCTCAGGGTGGGGATGACAGGGGAAAGGGAGCTGGCTTTTAGCACCCCCACTATTAAAAATGTTTCAGCACCACAGTAGGCACTGCCACTGCAGCTCCTATTTGTCATGGTTCCCAGCCAATGGTAGCTCCGGAGCCAGCCCTTGAGGCAGGAACAGCGCACAGACCCTCCCTGGCTGCTCCTCCCTGGCTGCTCATGCATGTATGGACTGCAGGAACCTGGCAGATGCTTCCGGGAGCTGCAAAGAGCTAGGGCAGGCAGGGAGCCTTGGGCCCCTGCTGTACCACCTACTAGTCTTTTAATGGCCTGGCCGGCAGTGCCGACTGGAGCCGCTAGGGTCCCTTTTTGACCGGGCGTTCAGGTCAAAAAACGGATGCCTGGTGACCCTAGTCTTATGTCACGGGCTCTACATGGGCTTTGTGTGGTCCATAGAACCTGCAATGGGCCCTTTGGCCTTGGATCAATTTCATCCTACCACAGTCTTATTTGCTATCTATTGCATCTGCTGGACATGTCCAGAGGACAACTCTTAACAGAAAGGCAAGCACTAAATGGGTACTTAGACTAAACTGCCCTCAGGCCTAGCTATGGCCATTTTAGTGCAGGATAACATAAACTTGCATTGTTGCTACCTATGTTGTACTTGTACTGTCGATAAACAAAGCACTTTAGACTCCAGGGCCACCAATCTGACATGTTTTATGAGTATTAAATTAACATAAAATATATACATAGATAATTGTATAAAGGTTTTTTCTACATCTCAATTTTGTAAGTACATCAGAAGTACATCTACAAGCTCAAAGGAAGCCTCCTGAACAATCAGTGGGCCCACTAGATGATCGAGATACTAAGGGAGCACTCACGGATTGCAGAGAAACTAAATGAATTTTTTGCATTCGTCTTCACTGACGTGCATGGGTGGCAGGTATAATAAGCCAGGGGACCCAGGTGTAGCAGCTGCCAACCCGCGGCTGGACACCTGAGCGGTGGCCCCGCCTCTTCCCCTCCCTGCTCCACCCTTTCCCCGAGGCCCCCACCACCTGCTGCTGCTGCCTGGTGAGTCTTCCCCCATCCTCCATCCCCACCCCTTATAATCCCTACTACTCGCAGTGTCCCTCCTCTCCTCCACCCCTCTCCCCCATGAGGAGGCGAGAGGCAGGTGGGGGAGTGAGAAGGGATACTGTGAGCGGCAGGCAGGGGCGTCTTGCAGCAGGTGATTGAGTGAGGAATGTCATGGCAAGCCAGTGGCGGGTGGGAGGGAGTCTCACAGTGGGTGTGGTGGGGTGAGGAGGGCCGTGGTGAGCTAGTGGTGGGTGTGGGGGGGTATTGCAGCAGGTGTGGGAGTGAGGAGGTACATGATGGGGGAGTGAGGAGGACAGCAGCAGGTGGGGGAGTGAGGAGGGCTGTGGTGACCAGTGGCCAGGGAGGTCTTGCGGTGGGCGGACGGATGAGAAGGGACACGGCGGAGGGAGAGGGGGAGGAGGCGAGTGGCACCCAGGGAAGTCTCGTGGTGGGTGAGGGGTTGAGGAGGGTCATGGCGAGTCAGCAGTGGGGCGGGGTTGCAGTGAGCAGGTGGGTGAGGAGGACTGTGGCGAGCCAGTGGCGGGAGGGAGGCGTGTCTTGCGCCAGGCAGGAGAGTGAGGAGGGACACGGGGTGGGGCGGGGGGTGAGGAGGTGAGCAGCAGGATGGAGATCTCACAGAGAGTGGAGGAATGAGGAAGTCCATGCTGAGCCAGTGGCGGGTGGGGGGGAGGGGTGTCTTGTGGCAGGCAGGGGGAAGTGAGTAGGGACGCAACGGGTGGGGAAGTGAGGAGGGATGTGGTGAGCTGCGGGTGGGAGTGTCTCGCTGTGGGCAGGTGGGTAAGGAAGGACATGGCGAGTGGTGAACGGGGGTATTGTAGTGGGCAGGGGGCATTGCAGCAGGCAGGGGGAGTGAGGAGGGATGCGGTGATCAGCGGGGGTGAGGAGGAATGCAGTGAGCGGCAGGTGAGGTGATCTCGTGGTGGGCAGGTGAGGAGGGATGCAATGGGGGGATGAGGAGGTGAGCAACAGGTGGGGAGGTCTTGTGGCAAGTGTGAGGATGAAGAGGGATGCAATGGGTGGGGGGTTGCAGTGGCGGGTGAGTGAGGAAGGATGCGGTGGGTGGGGGGGGTGAGATGGAGAACAGCAAGGGAGGGTGACAAGATGAGTGGCAGGCAGGGGGTCTCATGGCGGGCTGGGAAGTAAACAGGGATGTGGTGAGTGGCGGGCAAGGGGGTGGAGAAGGATGTGGTGAGCTTCAGGTTGGGTGGATCTCTTGGCAGACAGGGGGGTGAGGAGGGACGAGGCAGCTAGGGGTGTCTTGCAGCAGACGGGGGATGATGAGGGATTCTGCAGGCGGGGGGTCATGCAGGAGGGGGTAGGGGGAGTGAGGAGTAACGAGGCAGGCAGAGGGATGAGGGGGCATGTGTGTGGGTCTCGTGGCGGGTGGGGGGGTGAGGAGGGACACAGCAGTGGTGGGGAAGAGTGGGGAGGGGGGCTTGGAGCAGGGCTGGACCTGGGGTGGAGCAGGGGTGGATTCTGGTCAGGGCTGCAGACGGAAGAGGTGGGACAGGGAGCTAGCCTCCCCCAGGGGAAGCTTCACCCACCCACCCACCCACCATGTGGATTAGGCTGTGAGGGAGATTCCCAAAACTGAGCCATTCTTTTTAGGTGACAAATCTGAGGAACTGTCCCAGACTGAGTTGTCATTAAAGGGGGTTTTGGAACAAATAGATAAATAATACGCCAGGAGCAGATGGCATTCACCCAAGAGTTCTGAAGGAATTCAAATGTGAAATTTCAAAACTACTAACTGTGGTATGTAACCTATCATCTTCTGTACCAGATGACTGTAGGATAGCTAATGCGACACCAATATTTAAAAAAGGCTCCAGAGGCGAACCCAGCAATCACAGGCCAGTAAACCTAATTTCGGTACCAGGCAAACTGGTTGAAGCTATAGTAAAGAACAGAATTATCAGACACATAGATGAACACGATTTGTTGGGGAAGAGTTAACATGGTTTTGTAAAGGAAAATCATGCCTCACCAATCTACTAGAATTCTTTGAGGGGGTTAATAAGCATGTGGACAAGGGGGATCCAGTGAATCATAGAATAGAATCATAGAATCATAGAATATCAGGGTTGGAAGGGACCTCAGAAGGTCATCTAGTCCAACCCTCTGCTCAAAGAGGGACCAATTCCCAACTAAATCATCCTAGCCAGGGCTTTGTCTAGCCTGACCTTAAAAACCTCTAAGGAAGGA